CGTAAGGTCTAGAGGCCGAAACGTCGTAGGCCGGTAGGTGTTGGTACCGAAGCGTCGTAGGTCGGTAGGAGTCCAACCGGTACGCGACAAGAAAAGTCCAGAAGCTTCCAGTCCAGTCTGTCAGTCCCAAGTCCAATTTTGTAGCATGTCCCAGGAAAGTCCGGAAGCTCCCGGACCGACAAAATGTTTGCAACAGACAGGCCGTGCCCGACCGGTACTGGTCTGAAGCAGGTCAAGCCAAGCCAAGCCGAGTCCTATATTTAGCTGCTACAGTGCAGTGGCTCATCAGTTGTTCAGCTGTGAGATTCGGAAGCGCTGCTGCTGCTTGTGCGTTAAGGCCACTTGGGCATTGTGTGCCAGAACAAGATGAGGGCGCTTGCGAGATACTCCATAGCTAGGTTAGGGGTAGCGCAGGAGGAGGGCGACCATATTCGCCAAGGTGTAAGCTTACCTGAGTGTGTGTATCCAGGTTGATGATCTAGGTTAGAGAGAGAGAGTGAGGTAGAGCGAGCCCAGTCAGGAGAGAAGCAAGACTAAGAGAGAGAGAGAGAGAGAAGAGAGAGAAGCCATAGCCGTTATCTGGTTGAGATCCATTGTGTGTGTGTGTGTGTGTGCGGCAGAGCCGCTGGAGAAACATTCTTGTATATTGATAATAATTTTGGAGACATCTTCATGGGTTGATTGTATCTCGGTTTGGCTTCTCACGTGTGCACTCTCATGTGAATGTTCATTGATGGATGCGAGGTGGAACTTGATTAGTACTTGGCTCATTTGAGTGGTATCGGAGCTGGTTCCCACTACATCCGGTCGGAGTTGAGGCTGTGGCAAGGAAGAAGGCCGACGACCAAAAAACAAAAGTGGGGAATCGGAGTTTGACTGCAGGTGGAAGGCCGAAGAAGAAGGGGCATAGCAAGGAGCAAGAGGAGTACGTACCTGCGAGGAGCTTCATCGAGGGAACACTCAAGCAGTGAAGTGCTTCTTTGCCCTGGCCCTGACCATTTCATGCAATTCAAATTTTGTTGTGAATGGTACCTTCCTGTGTACTTTCCTGGTGACCTTTGCTGCAAATTAGGTTTTTTGTAAATGGTACCTTCCAACTTGCATGGTCTAGGTCTAGGGTAGCAACTCGCCAGCTGGAGATATCCCCATTCTAGTAGGGAGCACGGGCAGTGAGCAGTGGGTGCTCGTAAAATAACGCGGCTATGCCCGATGACTGGTACTGACTGGCGTGCAACCAAAGACTCGACGGGACACAATGAGGGTTTGCCAGCTGTATAATGCACGAAAAGAGTAGGGGTGAGACGTAAGGTCCACTTGTTGAGGACGCCAGGGAGATCTCCCAAGGACTGGTATTGACTGGCTGGCCATTCGCTGGTGGTAGTTATACCCGAAAACCGCTGCAGTCAGTGAGGAACCAGTCTAAGTATTGAGAGCAATCCTTCATATCGGTGGGGACGACAACCTGTTTGCATTGTTAAAGAATTCTCGAGGTCTGTGCTGGATGACCTTAAACTGCCGGTTGCCCACCGGTTGTCAGGGGAGCTGTAGTGATAGAAGTGGGAAGGGAATTAGTTTCTTAGACCGTGATTTAGGTTAGCATCAGTGTAAGTATTGAGGGCTGTTAAGTGTTGAGGAGTAGGTCTAAGTGGTGAGGAGGTGGAGTCAACTTACCTGTTCCGACCCTCGCCATGGATGACAACCTGATGTTGGGCTTCTTGGCCCTGTCCACTATATGGGCCCCCCTCCGTTTCCTCTTTCCACTGGGATTCGCCCGGACTCTTGGCATGCATGTCGTAAGTCAGTCCGGAGCATCCGCCCAGCCGTACACCGCTGAACAGCAGGCCAACATTGATAGAGTCTGGCGGAGAAGGAGGAGGAGGAGAAAAAGGAGGAGAAAACGAAGAAAGGGGAGGAAAAAAAGAGATTGGAGAAGGAGAGAAGTGAATTGGAGAAGTTAAAAATTCTAGAAAAACAGTAACAATAGGTCAAAGTAGTAAAAGAAGAAGAAGAAGAAGAAGAAGAAGGGGTGAGGTTGGATGACCCAGGAATATGGTGGAAGGAAGAATGTGTACCGAAAGGGGAAGGTCCAGTCAACTGCATTTCTACCCAGTTGACACCTAAACGTGGATCGAGAAATTTGGATTCATAAAGGATAAGTGGGCAGAAGAGTCAGAGGCTGAGAGGGAAGAGGTTACCGCAAAATTGGAGGGGGCAGAAGACAATGCACAGAGAGAGTTGCTGATGCAAGAGAGAGAACATGAACTGCATCAGCAACTCCTGATAAAGAAGAGGGCAGAGCTGGACGAGAAAAGGTGACTGAAAGCTGGAGGGGAGGAGATCGAACGCCAGCTCAAAGAAAGGGTGAATGGAAAGACGACTGTACCCTTATGGTCAACGCCTTGCTACATACTAACCAGGAACTCGCCGCTATAAATAAGTCTATTGCTCGACTCGAACAACACAATCACGAGTTCAAAGGCAGTTGGAACAAGTACCTAAGTGTCGTTGCCCACCGAATACATGAGCTCGTCGAGAGATATGCACAACAACTGGAAGGAATATTCACCTCGAGGTTAGTAGACATCATCGCCACGATGAAGTTAGGAAGGGGTGGTGGATGTGGAGATGCTGGAGATGCTGGTGACGGAGGCCCGAAGGAGGGAAAAGAAAGGTAGATCCCAATCAACCGGAAGGTGGAGAAAGGAAAGAAAAGATGAAGGTGAAGCTTTCCTGGAAGTACAATGGGAAAAGAGAAGATAACTTTTCCCTTATGGCCATGTATTTGTATGCACAGTTGATTCCATGGGACTGTGTCTTGATGGCGAGCTTGTGCCTTGGTGGGGATGCGCATATGGGCACGTATTTGTGTGCACAATTGATTCCATGGGACCGTGTCTTGATGGCGAGTTCGTGCTTTGGTGGGGATGCCGCCAATTTTGCCACGTCCTTGATAAAGCAGGCAGATTGTTCATCAATGGTGGAATTCTCTTAAGTGCATTCACATAGAGGATTTCTTTAAGACCCTGAAGGAGAGGTTTGAAGATAAGAACCTCGTTTGACAGACTAAGCAGTTAGTTCTCAATGTAGCCAATCGAAAATGTTAGAGTGTCGCTGCGTTGAAAGCCATCATGTATTATTTCTTGCAATGTCTCAACCATAGTTTAACCCCCACTCGGATTTTAAATAACTTTGCGAGAGCGACACCTGATCCCCTGTATGAAAGAGGACGACATGACTTACGAGAAATTTAGTAAGATCGCCGTAGATCGGGCTGGTTTCCTGATGGAGGCCAATTATTGTCATTATTGAAAGGACGTGCAGAAAGGAGGTTGATGGAAGGATAAAACTACAACGGGTAGTATAGAAAGGAAGGATCGTCTTCTAGTCACGTCTGAGGGGGGAGTCGAAGCACTACCTTACGAAAACATCGATTATGAATTGGAAGAGCCTAACAACAACGAAGTGGCCCAGGGAGGGGACTATTTGGCTGCAGCAGCCCGCGTGGGAGGGCGATAAGGAGGAATAGGAGGCCGAGGTAGAGGAGCCCGAGGAAGCGGTGGAGGCAGAGGACACGACATCCAGGGGCGTAGTAGCGAAGGTAGCTATTACGTGGGAGGTAGGGGTAACGGTTCCCCGCAAGGTGGATGCGGTTCTCCCTCCAGAGGAAGAAGAGGTAGAGGGCGCAAACCATGGCCAACTCATCCAGGGATTGCTGAAGGCAAGCCTTGGAAAGAGATGGGCATCGAGAAAACGCTGTAGCACCAAAGGCTTAACGCCAACCAATGCCTGAAATGTGGTGATCCTAACCACATTGTTTGTTTTTGCGCTGACTACCGCTACCCAAAAGGGAACAACCAGTAGGAGTTGCAATTTCTCCTGCTGGGCTTCAAACATGTAGATAGAAGCGTGCGTTGAACAGGC